AGGTGAGAAACTCACACACCTGCACTCAGGTGAGAAACTCACACACCTGCACTCAGGTGAGAAACTCACACACCTGCACTTAGGTCAGAAACTCACACACCTGCACTCAGGTGAGAAACTCACACACCTGCACTCAGGTGAGAAACTCACACACATGCACTCAGGTGAGAAACTCACACACCTGCACTCAGGTGAGAAACTCATACACCTGCACTCAGGTGAGAAACTCAGGTGTTAAAACAGGTGTCTAAACACCTTCACTCAGGTGGGTTACAGGTGCACACAGGTGTGGTCTTACCTTAGGTAACCACTCAGGTGCCTCAACACCTTCACTCAGGTGCCTCAACACTTACACTCAGGTGAGAAATTCAGGTGTAAACAGGTGATTTCACCTGTAGAATAATTGGTGAAGCCTTGTAGTGCAAGGTCATGCCACAGGTTTGCAGGGATCTTTGTTTGCAGTTTGGATAAACTTTCTACAAATACCTGGTATTTTAGCCCTGCTTTGAATAGCCCTGCTGAGATTGGATTGTCGGTTGTGTTTTTGACTCTGAGTGTGAAGATGCTTTCTTCCTTGCAATTATCAACAGACGCTGTGGTTGTAAGACTCAATAGTTAAGAAGTTCTTGCCTGCTTGCAGACTTTAGGGTTAGTAGTTTTTTTTTTACAGATCCTAGCGGAAGGCTTATGATTTTAATTGCTTTTAATCAATAATTTTTAATTGTTTTTGACAGACCCTTGTAGAAGCCGGCAGCATGTTACTGGACGAGGACAGAGTGGAATCCTGGGAAGACATGTCCCCGGGGGAGCAGTCCATCTCCGCGACCACGCTGGTGAAAACCGTGGAGGAGAACGGACTGCTGATGGCGGAACATCTGCCGCCCAGGCGCAAGGTCATGGCTACAGATAACAACATCGGTGAGAGACCTTAGGCTTGTAGTATCATTATCATGTTAAACATCGGTGAGAGATTGTAGTGTAGCCTTGTAGTGTCGTTATTAAGTTCGTTATTGTGTTAAACTGAATTAAAACTAGGTGAGAGACCCTTCTGTTCCCTGGTTTTAAGTTTTTCGTGGTACTACAATGTGTCCGTCTTGTAGGTTGTATCTGTAGGCAACATTTGTAAGGATCTGTAAAGTCATTTTTACTGCGGAGAAGTTCTATCAGGAAGAGTAAATGGTACACCCCAGGATTTTCTGAATAAAGTCTCGTAAATGGAAGATTGTGCACCGTTATCTCTCACTGTAGACAGTCCACTTTTTGTTGTAAGCCATGCTCACACTCCGGTCCATGTGTTCCAGCTATGGAGGTGCTAGTAGTGGATACCACAGGTGATGTGGCAGACATGTCCTTCCCACCTGCACACACCTCTACACACACCTGCACACACCTACACACATCTGTACACACCTGTATACACACCCTAACACCTGTTGTTCCTGTGTTGCAGCTATGGAGGTGCTAGTAGTCGACACCACAGGTGATGTTGCAGACATGTCCTTCCCACCTGCACACACCTCTACACACACCTGCACACACCTACACACATCTGTACACACCTGTATACACACCCCTAACACCTGTTGTTCCTGTGTTGCAGCTATGGAGGTGCTAGTTGTAGACACCACAGGTGATGTGGCAGACATGTCCTTCCCACCTGCACACACCTATACACACCTGCACACACCTAACACCTGTTGTACCTGTAGTTTCAGCTATGGAGGTGTTGGTAGTTGACACCACAGGTGATGTGGCAGACATGTCCTTCCCACCTGTACACACACCTGTACACACACCTGCACACACCTTAACACACCTTAACACACCTGTACACACCTAACACCTGTTGTACCTGTGTTCCAGCTATGGAGGTGTTGGTAGTTGACACCACAGGTGATGTGGCAGACATGTCCTTCCCACCTGCACACACCTGTACACACACCTGCACACACCTACACACACCTTAACACACCTGTACACACCCTAACACCTGTTGTACCTGTGTTCCAGCTATGGAGGTGTTGGTAGTCGACACCACAGGTGATGTGGCAGACATGTCCTTCCCCTGTACACACACCTGTACATACATTAACACCTGTTGTACCTGTGTTCCAGCTATGGAGGTGCTAGTAGTCGACACCACAGGTGATGTGGCAGACATGTCCTTCCCACCTGAAGGCAACGCCATCTCTGATATCATCACTTTACCTGGACCCAGCATCAAGGCACAGGGACGCAACGGTATGGACTCAAGTCTGGCAGACATTTGTGTAGAGTGGTTACAGACCAAAGTAGTCTTGCAGGGGAATATTCATGTATGACAAACCTGAACAAAGACATTAATAACACATTTTTATGTAAAAGAATTGAATTTGAAGCACATTGACATGAGACAATCCATGCAGTGAAACAGTGAAACTACGACACCACAGGGCAAAAAAAGGCAAGGGTCTATGACCTGATTAGGACATGAAATTATTGCAAAATATTGTGTAAAATATGCTAGCAGGACAAGGGTTAATGTAAAAGGATTGAATCAGAATTCCATGTTAAATTTTCCCCTCTCCCCTGTAGGTACAGCGAAGGTCGTCTTTGTGACCTACAACATTCTGGGTCGTTTTCTGACCTCCAACAGTCCGCTACACGGTTATTATTAACTAGGCTGGTTAGTTATTAACTAGGCTGGTTAGTTATTAACTAGGCTGGTTAGTTATTAACTAGGCTGGTTCTGTTGTTAACCTGTAGGTACGGCGAAGGTGGTGTTCGTGACCTACAACATTCTGGGTCGTTTCCTGACCTCCAACAGTCCGCTACACAGTTATTATTAACTAGGCTGGTTAGTTATTAACTAGGCTGGTTACTTATTAACTATCCTGGTTCTGTTGTTAACTCGCAGGTACAGCGAAGGTCGTGTTCGTGACCTACAACACGCTGGGTCGTTTCCTGACCTCCAACAGCCCGCTACACGGTGACAGCAACTTCGTGGACAGCTCCGAGAGGACCCTGGGAACGAGAGTCATCGCTGCGTCAATCAACCGCATGGAGCAGCTGCCGCTGCCGGAACCTGTGGTCTTCACACTGGAACATACACAGGAGAACGTTTCCGGTCCTCTCTGCTCCTTCTGGAAGTATGACCCACTGTAAGTAGAAACTTATAAACTTATTTTCTAGTTTTGTTGCTGTATTTTTTTATTTCATCAAATTGATTTTACAGGAATAATTTCCTTGCAATGTACCGTGTAAGAACTACTAGGGCTTTTCACTAGGGGTTTTGGTGACCTGCCGCTGTATGTATTGTTTGTAAATCACAGTTGTAATATTTTCTCTCGTGTTCCCTCCTGCAGTGTCCTGATTGGCTACTGGTCAGGTGAGGGGTGTGCCGTCATGGCGACCAACACGACTCACACGTCCTGCTCCTGTAACCACCTCACCAACTTCGCTGTGCTCATGGACACCCGCGGCGTCAAGGTAACATCACAGAAACGTTTCAAGTCTTTCCTACATCTACAGATCCAAGCACGGTTTCAAACCTGTTCCGCTGCTTATAAAGCAAGTTTGAACTGTGATTTCCATCAAGAAATTGGACGTGCCCAAATTTTCGATTGTTCAACTGCAGGCAAGGAATGAGCAATCTGCCACTTCTGTCATGTCATGTTATGCAAATGACGTGTCTCAGTGAGCAGTGGACCATAAGTTTCAGAAAGATTGTAGGGCCCCTGTTAAAATCTTTGTGTTGGAAATTACAGTTCAAACTTGTTTTACCAACACAGATGAACTTTTAAGCTTGAGTACATGTAATTGTACAGTTACTGTAGTATGGATAGCCAATGTGCAGCAGAGCCCTGCCTCTGGACCAGGGGTCAGGAGTTTGAATCCCGGCTGGTTTTTGCCCACCGTTAAATGTCACTGGAAAGTGTTGCAGCAGTAATCCTTGAAGAGGATGTTGTAATCTGTGGTCCACTGTTCAAGGCACTTGTCAGAAAGAGCAGGGAGTTTTTTTCCCATACCTGCATGATAAAAACTATGAACCAGTCTGAGAGGATGATTATTGATCTGTTTGTTTGTTTGTTTGTTTGTTTACTCCAGCTGGCCAGTACTCACGTGGTGTTTCTCTCAGCCATCACCTGGGTCGGGATGATCATCTCCATCTGTTGTCTCTTCTGTGCTCTCATCTGTTTCTCCATCTTCAGGTTGGTTATTAGTAACTAGGCTGGTTAGTTATTAACTAGACTGGTTGGTTATTAACTAAGCAGGTTAACAGGTTTGTTCTGTTGTTAACCAGGCTAGTTTGTGCACTCTGTTTCTCCATCTTCAGGTGAGTTATTAGTAACTAGACTGGTTAGTTATTAAGTAGACTGGTTGGTTATTAACTAGCGCTGTATGTTATTAACTAGGCTGGTTAACTTAGATGGTTAACCAGGCTGGTTGTGGCAGCTGATGTATTCATATTACATCCATTATTGTTTCATGCAAGCTTTATTTTTGAAATAGTGGACAAGGATCCTGTAGCCTTTAACGATTTAGTGTAGATAATGCTTCTTGTGATCACCATGAACTGGAATATATGAGAGAAGCTGAGCTATGAATGTAGCAAAGTCTTGCAAATTGTAGCAAAGTTACATTATAAATGTAGCAAAGTAACAGGAAATTTTGTCATGGGGGTAGTCTTTGTACAGTTTAGTTCTTTCATTCTTACTAACTGTTTTTTTTTCTGTCCAGAGGGTTGAAGAGTGACCGTAACACCATCCACAAAAACCTCTGCTTCAACCTCATCATAGCTGAACTCTTCTTCCTCATAGGCATAGACAAGACTCAGTATCAGGTAGGCAGGGGTTGACAGTACTGGCTAGATTATATAATCTATGTTAACTGTGCTCACTGTAGACTTTAAAACTTTTAGCTTTAACCTTTTCTGCATTTTGAGGGCAGATTCAAATATTTTACTGGATATAGAGAAAACTATCTGTGGGTAAGATTGGATCAAGATTCAGTATCATTTTTTTTGTTGATTCCTATTATTCCTCCCAGATTGAAACTTGGTACACACCGTTTCAGAGAATGAATAAATTGAGATTTAAGTTTTCCTCAAAAGTGGTCTCGTTGTCCTTTTGGTACGTTTTGACTTGAAATGTCTACAAAGCAAGAAAATAGGTTTGTGTGGCCTCTGGGCTAATACATTTTATGCCCCCCCCAGGTTGCATGTCCCGTGTTCGCCGCGATTCTTCACTTCTTCTTCCTGGCGTCGTTTGCGTGGATGTGTCTGGAAGGCTTCCAGCTGTACGTGATGGTGATCGAGGTGTTCGAGAGCCAGTACTCCAGACTCAAGTACTACTATCTCTTCGGATATGGTAAGCACAGTCAAGTACTTCTACTACTACCTCTTTGGATATGGTAAGAACACATTTTGTACTGCTTCTGTTACTGTAAATCTTCAATGTAAACAGTTGTTTTTCCTCTGCAATTTTTCCTGTTGTTGACCTCTTTACCATAAATTCATGACACAGTGAATATATTTCTCTAGAACTGTACTGCAAAATTATTTCAGCTACAAACTTATCTAATATAACACTGAGAAAACTGCCTTTCCCCTTTCATCGCAAACTTAGTTGACTGAGTTTTAGTGGCTAGCACACTCTCACACTCACTCACTGTCCGGTTTATCATCTGTTGTTCCCCGTCTTCCGAGGGTTAGACGTGTAACTGTTCTGATTGTTTTCACATGATTGATTCTTACAGGAGTGCCCCTGGTTGTGGTTGGAGTGTCAGCAGCTATAGACCATCGCAGCTATGGAACAGAGAAATAGTAAGGCTCATAATGTTCTGTTATGATTTCAAAACGGTCAAGTTGTTGAAGAATGCCCCCTATTGTTGCTTTTTGGTACTGCAGGTTGTTACTCCAACCAAGGAAATAATTTAAACTCACCCCATCACTCATTGCCCTGACTATTGTCCTTTCTTTTAAGGACTAGATGTTCATGTATATTTCAGAAATTCTAGCTATGAGTTTGTTGATGTCTCTATCTTTCTTCTTTGTTTGTTAATTCTTTATTTCAGGCATCAGGGCTCGAAATTAACATTGTCCCAGTGTCAAATGACACTAAATTTTCAGCTTGGGACAATTCAAATTATGTTTCGGGACAATTTCAGGGCAATTGGAAAATTCTCAGACCGTCCACGTCATTTAGGAACGCGATCCATCCATCCTGCTGCAGACTGCCGGCAGCCCATAATACTCTGACAAACATTTAAATTTGACCAATCAGGAATTCCAAATATCAGGGACGGTGCCATGCCCATGGTATTATCATGTATTTCCCTACATATACTAATAAGTGGACTTCAAGTTGTACAAATTCAGTTGTTGTTTTCTTATTGTTGTCATAAACTTATTTCCTGAAAAGCAGGCTGGGACAGTCCATCTTCAGTTCGGGACAATTGAAATCTATGTTTGGGACAATTCTGGGACAATTTAAAAAAAAGTTAATTTCGAGGCCTGGGCATGACTCCCCAATATGAAACATACAGATAAAAATACACATAACAACAAAAGTAAAAATATGTCTTTAATTGTGATGTGTTCCTTTTCCCCAGCTGCTGGCTGCAGTTAGATAACTACTTCATCTGGAGTTTTGTTGGGCCTGTGTGTCTCATTCTGCTGGTAAGTGGTGGACACAAACACATAACTGCGTTACTTTGGCCTGCAAACTGCTCTGTATTACATCTTTGATACAAATGTACACAAAATTAAATTGTTTACCCACAAGCTTTCATTCAGAACTCTGACCTTTCTCAAATTTTGAGTGTTGATACATGTCAATTACTTTACCATAATCTCCACCAGACTCCTTTTGCAGGCTAAATAAATACAGTCAAACCTGCCCATGCGACCACCTTGTCAAGACGACCTACTGGCCAAATAGACCGGTTTTCTCCGGTCCCGAAAATATTTTCCCATAGGCACAAGCATTAAGCACTCTGCCCAAGTAGACCACCTTCCTGACGCGACCGCGGCCAGCTCGAGTCGGGACCACGCGCGACCAAAACCTTCCCATGACGACCGCATCATTTTTAAAAGGGTGTCTATATCGATTTTTAATAAAAACTTGCGGGGATTTATGGGGAGAATCGGCCTGTTTACGTTGTGTTTTGCCCGGCCGAGCGATTCAAGATGGTGCCGGGGGTCACGATGTTGGGTCATTGGAACAGACTACTGTAATATGGGTGAAAACTTGACGTGCGGTTTGATTCTACTGTACAATCTACCGTACAAAATGTAAATTTATTTGTCGCCGACGATGTTTAAATAAAAGAAAATGATATTTACTAATATTGACTTGAGGGCTTAAAGTTTTTGGAGTTTAAGGTGTTTTTATTCTTTATTCAACTAGCTGCTCACCCATGATGCTGGTGAAATATCCCAAGTGGAGAATCTTGTAAACAAGTCACACAAGCTTCGAGAAAGATCGGTTTAATTGTACCAAAGAAGCGTCTCGGAAAATTACAAACGTCGGGACGTCATAATTAACTTGAAGAAAAAGTCTGGTCGACAACTGGTCTGGTGAACGATTCATACAGACCGTGGGGATTTTAACAAAGCCGCTGCATGCGGCACGCAAATTGCCGCTGCACGCCGCTGCATGTGCAGGGCCGCAGACGAGCTTACAGCGAAGCCCGGCGTCTTCGCCCTAGGATGGGAGCGTAATGGAATCCAGGGTAACATCGAGAAAGTTCTACAGACACTGTAGCCTTTAACAGTAACGTTCAATTGTATTTTTTTGCCGTAAAAGTTGACTCGCAAAAATGTGACGCCATTTTCTTTCACTACGCCTGGTTCCCAAATTTTCGATTCGTCTTAGTCGTAGCACGTGCTAGCACGCTACTGGGGCTTTTACATGTTCAGTAGTACAAATGACGGTAAACTTTTGATTTTATTCCAACCTCGGAATTAAGCAGATTTATGCCTCATTTCTCGTAGTTTGTAACTCGTTTGTGAAGTTGGCCGCCGGGGCGCCATTTTGATTGCTGTTGTCTGCACGCTTGGGTGACGCTGAATTTTGTAACTCGTCTCATTGTTTTCGAAAACGTCCCGTAGTAGCACAAAATGAACGCCTTATGTTTCTGTAAAAACCTCTAAATCGTAATGTAGGCTAAATTTTATAAACACCCAAGTGTAGATACTAGTAAGCTGTGAAATTTCAAAGCTTTTTACTGTGGTACATGATTGTATAAAAATCAAATAGATGTACTTTCTATGCAATAAATATTTTATTTCTGGAAGTACATCAGTGTTTTGCTTGTTCATGTGTCAACCACTAGTACTATACTTTTGTGTGCATGTTGTAGTCAAGAAAGGATGAGTAAAAATATAACTAATTAATTAGTAAAGTACTTTGATGAATCATTGATGATGCAATAATGGTTTATAATACATAATACTAGTACATGTAATATGATAATACTTGTAAACTGCCATATCTTTGTGATGTCTTGGTCGTTGGTCTGATTTTCTTCAAATAGACCACCTGCTCAAGTAGGCCAAATTTGAGTGGTCCCCTGGGTGGTCTACTTGGCCAGGTTTGACTGTAGTAGAAATCGGCCTAAAAAGAATGTAGCCAGCCTATGCAGGCAAACTGGACCCTCGATTTCTACTATTTATTCAGCCTGCAAAGGAGTCTGGTAGAGACTTAACTTTAGCAGATGAACCTTCTTTTGGATGTATTTGAAGGCTTTTTGATCAGTTTGTGTTGTGAAAAAGTTGTGAAATTGTTCAAGCTGGTGTGTTACGCCGAAAGGCGGTTATACTGGCTATACAGATACAGATACAGATACAGATACAGAAGGCTTTGTGATTGCTTTTTGTTGTGAGAATTGCTTGAAAATGCAAAGGACTGCCCCTGTGACAGTATAATTGATTTTCTTTCATGTTGTTATTTCCAGCTGAACGTGATTTTCCTGACGATCGCCATGTACAAGATGTACGTCCACATCACACACAAGCCTGACCAGACTCGCACTAACACACTCAAGTAAGGGTCTAGATATCAGTGTTACCTTCTTAAGAAATCATTATGAAAAATTTAAACTGTTCTCCAACTCATAAATTTGACTCACCAGAAATTTTCGACTGAATCACTCAGTCTTCCTCAGCTACTGTATCTGACCCCAGTGTCCACAGCATTTGGGTCAGATAGCTGAGGAAGACTGAGTGATTCAGTCGAAAATTTCTGGTGAGTCAAATTTATGAGTTGGAGAACAGTTTAAATTTTTCATAATGTAATTTACCAACTCAGATGAACTTTCATTCTTAAGAAATCTTATAGAAGCAAGAAACATACTCAAGGGAATAAAAGATGTTGGAAGCAGATTGTCAGATTTTGCTAGCCCAATGCTATCGTTTCAACTTTTTTCCTATGTAATTTGTTGCCTAAAATTCGTTGCCTGAATTTTTACCATCTTTTCTCATGAACACAAAGATTTTTTGCTGACTTTCAAGGCTCCATTCTTTAAACTCAACATTTCATGTTCTTACCATCCAATGTACAGGTGAACTTTCATGTTGGTAAAACATACATTGTAACCTTCTGTAGAAACTTAGTTCATCTTGACTCAACTAACCCTTTTTCTGTCCTTAAACACTAAGTGATTCCATAGAGAGTGAACTGGACAAGTAAGAATTCCAAATACTCTTACTGTGGTTGTTGGTGGTATTTGTCTTGTAGTGTGTGGTGGTGTGACTAACATCCGTGTCCATAATATCACCTGGGTTCGTAATATCACCACCTTGAGAAACAGTGTGCTTTAAGATATTTTTACTGCAACATACTTTTGGCATGCACTCCTTCACACATCAAATGTACATACCTAGGGTGTGTAGCAGTAAAAATATCTTTAAGCACACTTTTTCTCAAAGTGGCGATATTATGGACTAAGGTGAAATTATGGACACAGATGTTAAATCTATTTGTAAACATGTATCTACTAGTACTTTATTTTATCTACAGTCACTTATTGAGGATTTGACACAAAGCGAGATGCTCAAAACAAAAATTTCATCTACATGTATAAGCATAGCAATTACTTGGAGAACGAAAACAGTTTCCCATTAAAGATACAAGATGGATAATGGACAACAATCAGAAAGAAGACAGGAAGAGTTGGTACTAAAATGAAACCATTGTAACCATTGTTTTCAATGACACAGTTTCATCACATTAGCCACCGTGCCTGCCTTTCTTCTAATGATTCTAATTCCAGATTTGTATTGAATTACCAACAGTAGAAGGAACTGGCTTGAGATGTGTGAAAGTTTTCTTGCCTAACTCTGTTTCCCCTGTCTTCCTCACTCTGCTGCCTTAAAGTGCGACTCAGGAGTCAAACTTCCTGTAAGTCTCCTTCTGTCTGTGTGTCACTGGGTCTGTCTGTCTGTCTGTGTGTGCATGTCCTGAGATGTGGTGTGTTTGTGTGTTCCAAGGCCTGCATACTGTATGTCATTGTCAGTGCATTTGTCTGTGCTTGTGCTTGTCCTGTGATGTGGAGTGTTTGTGTGTCTGTCTGTCTGTGTGTGCATGTCTGAGATGTGGAGTGTTTGTGTGTTCCAAGGCCTGCATACTGTATGTCATTGTCAGTGCATTTGTCTGTGCTTGTGCTTGTCCTGTGATGTGGAGTGTTTGTGTGTCCCACTCTGTTTGTATGTCAGTGTGGCTAGTTCCACATGTAGTGCTGCTTGAATGTGAGGTTTTGATCTAGGTTCTATGAGTGGCTGAATTCTGCCTGTGACAGTGAGACTGTGATGAGCATGGCTCTGTGAATGGAGTTGCAAGTTGCAGGCAAACGTGAAGATAGTGCTCTATTGTCGGTTAAAGTGTGTGTCCTGTCCTGATGTCAAAGATTAAAGAGCATGTTTAGACCTCAGGTTGAAAGCCATATTCTGTCCCCAGTACACAGGTTAAAGTTTGTGTTGTGTCCTCAGTTCAAAGGTTGTGTTACCTCTGCAGTTCAAAGGTTAAAGGTTGTGTTGTGTTGGCAGTTCAAAGGTTGCGTTGCATCCCCAGTTCAAAGGTTAAATGATGTGTTTCCTTTGAGTTCAAAGGTTAAAGGTTGTATTTCCCCCCACAGGTCGTGGCTGAAGGGGTCGGCGGTGCTGCTATGCCTGCTGGGATTGACGTGGGCGTTCGGGCTGCTGTACATCAACGCGGAGTCCGTGGTCATGGCCTACGCCTTCACCATCACCAACGCCTTCCAGGGCGTCTTCATCTTCATCTTCCACTGCCTCATGCAGAAGAAGGTGGGCAGTGCTCATGTGGAGAAGCTTGTAATGAAACACGCTTTCACTGAAGGTCTTACCTACTACTGGATGTACCAAGCATGCCCCCCTCAGATGTGTGTCTGTCAGTTTACAATGTAGATGGAAAGATTTTAACATTGTACATTTTGTAGTACCTTGCCAAATTTCAAGTGATCAGTACTACTTCCTAAGGATCTTAAACCGCTCCAAAATGCCTCAGTAACCAGTAGAACTTGTCCTCCAAAAGGCTGCTTTAGCAGGAAGAAGGTTAAAAACCCTTGTTGTGCTAATGTGTACTCATGTCTTGTTTCTTGTGTCTGCAGGTGCAGAAGGAGTTTAAGAGGTTTGTTCGGCGCAGCAGCTGGTGTCCGATCTGCATCAAGCAGCGTATGGGCGTGCACAGCGAGGCGTACAACATGTCCAAAAACTCTACATCCCGCTCGTCTTCTACACCACAGGTAAACAAACAAACAAACAAACAAACAAACAAAAATGGGCGTCCACAGTGAGGCTTACAACATGTCCAAAAACTCTACATCCCGCTCGTCATCTACACCACAGGTAAACAAACAAACAAACAAACAAACAAAAATGGGCGTCCACAGTGAGGCTTACAACATGTCCAAAAACTCTACATCCCGCTCCTCATCTACACCACAGGTAAACAAACAAACAAAGAAACAAACAAACAAGTCCAAAAACTCAAAACCATTTGATACAGGAGTTTTCTTTTACACAACCAAGATTTTTACCTTGCTGTGTCTATCAGACACCTTCCTCAAAAGCACCACTTACATCGGGTAGATATAGCGGCAAGAAACAGAACTCCAGTCAGAAGCTCTGAGGAAGGTGTCAGTGAGGTAAATATCTTGGTTGTGTAAAAGAGAACTCCTGTATCCAATACTTTACCAACCTGATGAAACTATTTTCGGTCAACCATTTGATCTTCAACAACTACTGTTCAGGTAAAGAAACAAGCTTCTAAAAAAAGGAAACAAAAAAACTATGAGTATACCACAAGAAACCATCTGCACAAACAGTTTAAACAGTTCTTACTTCTTGTTAAAACATTTGCAAGGTTGAGTATTGACGTGCCCTGTGTTGTGTTGTATGTACCAGTGGCAGCCGCCACCAGCCCTTAGGCTGCCTGGCTCCCACTTGTAATGCGTTGTGGCATCACCAATAAATGAAATGAAAATGAAATGAAATGAGTGAGATGTTAAGTTCTAACTCTGCTGTTTCCTGTCCTCAGCGTTTCAGTCGCTGGTGGAGCGTCGTTCGAACTTTCCACAAGAAATCCAACTCCTCCTTCTCAACCAGCCTGGACAGAGGTGGGTTTGGCTTTTATTTTGTTTTGTGATTATGAGTTTGATAACATTTTACATGAGCTTATTCTTAAGCAGTATCATGACCATTATCAGATATTCTCTCATCTTGGGTTGTTTTTCTAGCACCTCAGTTTTGTATCAGTATGTTAGGAGGATGCTAGAGTTGTGTAAAACTAAGACAGTCCATCTACTGATCTGCTGAAAGGAACAGTTTTTTTTCAATGCTAACGTTGATATCCTTGATAGAATAAAACTTGTCTTGACTTGAGTTCAAATTTTCTTGAGATAACGAAAATGTCTAATATCAGAATTTTTTTAAAATTTACTTCATGGTTACAAAACAAGGCTCATGGGAGCCACTTAAAATGTTTTGGGTTACAGAACAGCCAGTGAGGACAGATGTTTGTTGACCTTAGACTTCAAGAGCTTAAGGTTATACTCATAGTCATAGGGGAAGCAATCACGAGGTAGCTTATTCCAAAGTGATGTTGTTCTGGGAAAGAAGCTTTCAGCAGAATATGTTTGTTGTTGTGTGCATCTTGTAAGGCTTCATTTCTTTTTCCTGTTGTTCTCCAGGCCAAATCATGATGTACTACAAAGGTTTCATGATTGTCTTTATTTTGTTGTTCCCCAGGCCAAATCGTGATGTACCACAACGTGAAGAACAAGGACGGCAGCCTGAGTAACGGGACCATTGAGACCAGCGAGTCGAACGGGCAGATGCCGGCCAACCTGGTCCCCAACTTCCACTCCAACCCTTACCACGCCGACTCCTACTGTGACGACTTCAGCATCTCAGGTGCGCATGGGCGCCTAACTTGAACCAGGCTTTTAGCTAGGGGGTGTCTTGGGTGTCTTTTGGACGCCCTGTACTGAAAATAACAAGAATTTGGACACCCTACTTTTTTGGTAGGACACCCTAAAGACCCTATTTTTCCCACTCCCCACCCCTGCCATGCACACATGCCTCCCTTCAGCCTTACTATATATACAAAACTGATGTTGTAACAAAGGAAAAACTTGGCTGCAGTCTGTATTCCTCAAAATGTGCACCTCAAAATGCAAGAAGTAGTGTTTGAGAGCATTACGAATTTCAAAAAGCCCCCTAAAAAGCTTGTAATTGTGTCGCTCACCACGCGACTTCGGTGCGCATAGCACACAGTTAAAAATGTGGACACCCAACAAAAAAATCCTAGCTAAAAGCCTGCTAACTTCGGTTGGGGAAAGTCGTATTGAGGTCACCTTGTGGCGCCGAATGGCAGCCGCACAGACCCTTGCGACAGTTCCACAAAAATTTGTGTAACAAATATGTGTATCATGTGTATTATTTGATTGTCGTAATTGTTGTGATTTGTATGGATTATTATGTGATACCCTGCATCAATTCAGCCGTATAAAGGCTGCGACTGCACGGGTACTGTTTGGGCAATAAAAAAAACATTTATTATTTATTTTTCTCAGACACTAACTTCTACCACATCGGCAACGGCGGGGACTCCGTCGTCATCCCATGCCTCGTGGACGCGAACATCGGACGCCCGCCGGACGTACAGAAGAAGGGTTTGGGCGGAGTTGGCGGAGTTCCGATCGAGGAGGAGGATCTGAATGAGAGAGAGAAGACACCGCTGCTTCAGAGACATTCGGTCGTTTCGGACTCGAGTCGCGAGGACTCGGAGGAGAGCAGCACGCGGGCGCCGCTCGTACCGGACATGCAGGAGGGAAAGAAGGAGACGACGCACCATCGCAGCATGCCGAACTTAGACTCGCATCCGGACAGAGGTGACCGGCCGCCGGGGGACGGAGCGAGTAGCAACCTGGAGGGGCAGCACTTCCAGAGCACGCCCAACCTCAGCCCGGCGAAGCAGCCGCGCGGCTCGCAGAGACAATCCGTCCTGATGCGCGGGACCAGTGACGGGATTGTGAACACCGCGTCACGTTGCTATAGATACTCGACGGACAGCGAGATAAGCTTCGGAGCCGCGAAGGACCAGGACGTCCACACGGACCCCGAGTTTGGCGGGGACACCGCGATCGCGCCGCATCCTGACTTCTCCGAGTGCTGAAACTTCTTTGTAGCTGAATCTTGAGAAACAACTGACTGTAGCAACCGTCTTGCCCTGTTTAAAAACACTGCAGAAGCTTCTGAGATGTAAATTGTAGGTCAGCAGAGCTTTTGGGAGTTGAGCACCAAAGTGTATCACTACTACAAGATGTACACTTGTCTACAGAGATATTGTGCCACACTGTTGAGGCACTTTGTGGAGTATTTTCTAGGAGTAAGTACAGTGTGACTCATTTCAGGTGAATGAAATTTCAGGCACTATTAATGACTGTGGGAACAGGAGACAAGGAGACAAGTGTTGAAGGCTCTAGATTTGTAAAGGGAACAGAAACACAAGAGAAAGCACACTTCTGGTCACGTGAAACTTTCCCACCGTTGTTGACAATTGTGGGGTAAAAAAACAGCTACGAGACACTTGGCTTGGTGAAGCTTCTAGATTTTCTATTTAAGCGTAACCGAAAGAAAAAGTGAGAGGCCAGACCCTCTGAAGGGTGTGGAAGGGTATCCCAGATAACCACAGTGGTAAATATTAAAGAAATAAGCAAATACAGGCCAGGATTTCTGGCCAAGAGGAGTCCAGTATCTGGAGCAGTGCAGTAGGACCTGTAGAGTAGAGCCAGGTCTCGTGTTAACAGCCTCACTGCTGTTGTGTTAGTTACTAAAGAATATGGATGCATATGTTCGAATTAGGTTTCGCTGCATTACAAGTTTAACCTGCACACTACTGATGGGTACATGAGGTTAACCATCTGACTGCTGATGTGGTCAGATTGATGAGAAGTCTAACAATTACTAGTAGGCAATACCACATCAGTTCTATAGTTCTCAGTTTCCTGTGTAACAAGTGTGAGAGTCATTTTATTTCAGTGTTAACACGGGTGCACTTTCGTTTTTTTATTTTAATTTTTAGTTTCAGCTGCAGGCTTGTCCAGTCCTGGCAACCAGGGCATTAACTTGACAAGGCCTAATTATTAAGTAGATGACAAGACAGTTGAACTGTCTGGTTCGTTAGCACAGTAGTTCGTTAGGCTCTTCTCATGTGTACGTGCCAAAACACTGGCTCTCTGTAAACTGTTAAAGTAGCTCCACTGCTAGGGTTATTCAGGAGTACTGATAAAACTGGGAGAAGAAGAATAAAAAATGTTTCAAGTTAAAACTTTTGGTGCAGCACAAAAAGTTCTCAAACCTAGTGCTTTCTATTGTGGACGACCAGGGTGACTGGTCGAAAGCTCTAGGTGAGAGAATTTTTTGTGTTGGACCAAAAGTTTTAACTTTAAACATGTAACACAGATGAACTTTCATGATACATGTAGTATAAGAATGAAAAATTGTATTTTGTAACCTGAATTTGTGCAGAGCATGAAGAGAAGAGAAACTATATTTGAAATGCTGTTATTCTGGCATCGGTGACAATTGTGAAGAATTGTGTGTGTGAAAATTGACAGGTTGGTTTAGAAGTTGTACATGTGTACGTGCAAAATATTATGTACATGTATGAGGGGATTTGTATGTAGGGGGGGCAGTTTATGCAAGTGTTTATCTTGCCATTTTTTTGTCACAGGAATTCCACCGATGTTCTTGTCGCTAGTGTTGTTTGTTATATTGTTGCACTGTTCAGTTTAGAAGCCATTCTGTATTCCCTATGACTGTCACATTCCTGTACAAAAATTCCGTATGATATTTTGCTAACTTATGATAATAATGTGCAGCCGGCAATAGTGAACAAGTAGGGAAAAAAACCTTCTTGCCAAGAAATGCAACAAAACGCTTGTATCATTTCGTGCTCGCGTATCGTGACTATATAGTATTAATATCTACTATATCAAGAACTGTCAACAGAGCCATATTATTTTTATATACTAGTGGACTTCTTGAGACTAACAAAGTATTACTTAAAGACAAAGTATTACTTTCTTAAGACTGCTGCTGAGTAGGATCTTGCCAACTTTAAGACGTTTGTGTGCAGTGAGGTGAAGCACCTGTAAATATGGATATGTTTGTAACATTGTTGTACTTACCTTGAACTTGAACTACTCGTAGCTGCAGCAGATACAGAGGGTGTCGGATTTCCGCAAACACATCACAAGGTCAAGTTGGGTTCTACAGGAGCACTGTGATTGGTGGAAACGGTCCACTTTTTCCTTATATGGTCAAATTTGGTTCTACAGGAGCGCTGTGATTGGTGGAAAAGGTGTAATTGGAAGATGTGCTGTGATTAGTACAAAAATTAATGATTTCTACCACCATTCCCATATATGGTGAAATTGATGAGAATGAACATATAAGGATGTTGCAATTTGCAAATTGTGCTGATTACAAGGTATTTTTAAAAAGTCATTGAATCTATTATAATACTTTTACAAAAGAAGCAAAATATGCACGAAAGTATCTACAAAATATGATGAAGACTTCAACAATGGCTTTAAGATTTTATATAAGCCAGACTAAAATTAAAGTATTAAGACTGACTCAAGCATTCTTCAACCCTGTTGGCTAACCAAGATGTCTTTCAAGACATATGTCTCCTTGCAGAACACCTGAAGACGTTTGTGTATTGCAGAAAGGACCCTTCTGTTATCTTGCTGTGCCGGTGCTAATATTAGACTGTATATGTCTGTACAGAATACATTATAGTTCTCTATGGAAGTGACGCAAGTTTCGCTTCCCTGTTGATGCATCTAAACCCGTAACCTGTGCTGTACTCTGTGCCATGTGAGTTGTATGATATATGAAGTATTTATAATTAGATGTAACCCTGCACAGTGAACCTGTAAGTAACGTGTGCTGTACAAAATGTACGTAAGGCCTGCATGAAGTGTCCGGTAGAGAGGAGGACAGGTTTTGATACGTGTGAAGCTGGATGGCACACAGAATAAACTCTTAAAGTTACCGTCTTGGTACGTCTTATTTGCATGTCAATCAATAGTTTGTGCTTATAAACCTGCATTTCTCCTCTGGTCTCTCAGTCACTGACGAAAGCTAGTGGATACTAGCTGAAACGTCCGTTTCCAAAATCATATCCAGTTGCTTGAGTAACTGTTTTTTGACGTACCGCCTTGGTGTTTCTTAACTTTTGTCCTGTAGAATCGAATCTGTAGTTTTCAGTTAGCCTCTACCAGGCTTCAGGAGGCGGCTGGAAAGAATAGAAATTGCCCAAATAGATAACATGCCAGGGGAGTTTGTCCGCAAGAGAGTACAGTTTGCCGCATCCTAGCGGACCAACTCCCCTGGCATGTTATCTATTTGGCCAATTTGTACTCTTTCCAGCCACCTCCTGAAGCTAGCTTCCTGGTAGAAGCTAGATATCAGTGTCAAATTGCAGAGAGATTTATTTATTTATTTGGCAGGAAAGAAGCTGGCATCTGTCACATATACAGAACTGTCACACAAACACTGCCACACATTGAGACTGCTCATGATTTTATTTGCAACATGGCTAGCATCGTGAACAAAACATCTAAACTGTCACACTTAAGTAATGTTACCAAGTCTTTACACCATTGATTGTTACATGATTGTGCAACCTGTAAGTTACCCTAACAGCTCGGCTGCCTTGCATTTTTGCCATGTCATCTCTATCTGCAAGCATTATGTACATCAAGCACATCCTATGAGGAAAATATTTTACCAGCAGTTCTGTCAGAAAAGTGACAAAAGTCAGCTCTAGACACAAGAAACTTTAGAGACTGTAGAAACTTGCATCACAGGTCAATGACCTATGATAAAAGCCAGAGCACAGCTCTCCTCTACAGCACAACTCATAATTCAAAACATCCTAACAAAAAATGGTGCAAAACTGAGTCAGAAATAAATAATATGGACATTCTCTAATGAACCTTAATACAGTGGCTTGTTTAACAAATGAGAAGATATAAGGTGATCTATTTTCAATAGACCTTTCTTTTATTATTAGTTAATTCTCTTTTACTATAGGGACCCCCATAATTATTTTCAATACAAGAGGCCTTTAAATAACAAAAATATATCTCAACACAAACTGGCAGGATGTGGCAACATCATTCCATCCAAAAAAAAAGACTATTTCTTAACTTAATCTTTGTACAGACTGAATCTTAACACCAAATTCACAATGCTCTTCTCTGTGCAAAATATGAAAATTTTCATTTATAGATAAACCTTTGATAAGATTCAGCTAAATCTCTCATGCAGTAAGTAGTTAGTAGTGTTTCCAATATAATACTGTATAAAAAGCTGTGCTGAATGCATGCAAAGCCTGTGCGAAATGCACTCTAATTAATACAGATAGCTTTTGATTTTGATAGCTTCTATAAGACTTCAAACTCAAATCCCTCGACACAGTGAACAGTTAATTCTGTCAGCCTTATTTCTATGCTATCAGGTCTAGTCACAGTTTTGCTTCCTCCACAGTACATGTACATGTACCTTCAGGCTTACATGAGAAACTTGGCCCTGTATGCTGCCAGGCCCAGTGACGCCCCCCTTCCCCCTAGTGTGCTTGATACACCCCCTTTCCTCATGAGCATTAGCTTGTGCTCCTTATCAGATACACACAGTCAGGTCCAGTGCAGTTGTGTTGTGCCAAACTCAGCCCTGTCTGTTGTACCCCCTTCCCTAAACATGTGCTACAGGGTCTAGTACATTTATGCCCCCCTCCCACCCCTAGTGCGTATTAAAGTCTCAGCCCTGTCTGCTGTCAGGCCCTGTGATGGTTCCCCGTTCTTCCTTCACAGACTGAGCCCCCTGTACATTATTCGGTTCCTGCCCCACTTTGCCCCCTCCCCCTTTGTGCCCCCCTCCCCCATTCCGCCCCCCTCCCCCAAGGTGTTGACCAGTTTGTCCACCGTGTCAATGATCAGCTCCAGGTCCTCCGGTTCGCTCATGCGGTGTTCGCCGCTCTTCCGCAGGATCAGGTCCACATCTTTAGCGTCCAGCTCCTCCAGAATCTGCGCCGAGGTCTGGTACGGGACATCCGCGTCGCGAAGCCCGTGGATCAGACGCACCTAGGCAAGATCAACATTTATTAACATTACAACCATCCCTCAACAGAGACGGGGGCGCCACAGACCTTTTTATCTGCGCCGAGGTCTGGTACGGGACGTCCGCGTCGCGTAACCCGTGGATCAGCCAGATTGCATAGCTTGTTAACCTAGAATTCATTCTTTCCTAGAACTATCACAGAGTACCCTGGATACCTAACTAGTATCGGTCCGTTAGCCGTTTTCCTTCGGCAGCCAAGAACCCTTCGCCCGCCTGTCTAAATTACCGCTACGGGGGAGTTGAGCCCGAGGGGTTTGTCCGACCCTATTACTACCTATTTGTTTGAAGGGCCAGCCAAACTCCCCCCCGGCTAGACTCCCCCGTAGCGGTAATTTACACCAGCGGGCGAAGGACTCTTGCGGCCCGGAAAACGAGTTCTGGCTTCCAGGGTAATCACAGAGTGGAACTCGCTGTCACCAAGTACAGTAGGGGCATTGTCATTAGCTTTAAACAAAGTCTAGAGTTAGAAATTTCAAGAGATCAGTCTAAAAAATCAAATCAAACCAAATCAGGCGCACCGGGCACGAGATGGGCAGTCTTGTTCCCAGGATGCAGTAGGGCAGGCTGTCCTGTATCCAGTTGTAACCGAGGGAGACGGTCCCGGTGTCAGTATAGTCGGACGGGAAGGTGTACACGCCCTGTTCCTTCCACTGGTTCTGCACCTGTGTAAGGACAACAAAGTCAGGCCAGCCCCTCCAACTCTGTCATGCCACTTACTACATAATGTAACCCAACACCACAACCCCTCCAACTATGTCCTGCTACTTGCTACAGATAAAGGTAGTCTTGTTGCCTTTTTTGCAGCTGTAGGAGCCACCACCACCAGTCCCAGTCTGTAGGGACAGTGGGTTGTTGATCCACAGTGTCTAGGGCACAGTATTGGAAGGTGGAGCCCATCCCTCTCCTTCCACTGCCATTTACCTGACCAACCTTTTACCTTAATAAATGTTGATATCAGTTTAAAGTTAAAACTTTAGATCCAACACAAAGAAATTCTCTCACCTAGGGCTTTCGACCAGTCACTCTGGTCTTCCTCAGTAGACTGATCCTACCTAGGTGAGAGAATTTCTTGAGAGTTGGATCAAAAGTTCTAACTTTAAACATGTAACTACCAACACAGATGAGCTTTCATGATAGATGTCGATATTTCAAGTGTAAGGATCAGAGAAACTGTATGTATGTCATGAAATGACAGCTGTCACTCACGATGATTGGCGCCTGTTCCCAGTGCTTCTTGACGAAGTCTGCGGCCGTTGCTATGCCGACCAGCGCGTGGATTCTCTCGGGCCGGTTCATGGCGATCAGCAGCATGAGCCAGCCGCCCATACTGGAGCCAACAATGATCTGGGGACACAGACAGGATGGTAGGATTCCTACACTCTCCCAGCAGAGTTTGCCTGACTGAATATAATCATGAAGGAAATGGCACAACAACGTACAGGAGGACCTCCACCACCTGAACTTGGATAAAATCGACCCACAGGACAGAGACAAGTGGTGAGCTGCCATCAAGCCCCAGATGTATTGTGCAAGCACGTCTTACCCTCGGAAGACGGGGAACAACAGACGATAAACCGGATAGTGAGTGAGTCTTGTCTGGTGTACATGTATGCTGAGTGCCTTCAGAAATCAGCTCCTACAAGCTAACTAGCTGCTTTATGATGAAGTAGATAAATAGAGGTTAGAAATTTCGGCTTATTTTTGACCTCCTTTTAGGCATTTTATCAGGCTTTCTCTTTTGCACTAGTTTTCTTTTAAATTCCAGCTCTGGGTTGCAAATGGATGCTGCCCTGCCAAATAGATACTGTCAGAATTTTGCAGCCACCAAAAGATCTGCTTGGAGATTACCAACAAAACAAGGAAGAAGAAATCAAAGCTTTCAAACCTCAATGAAGTATTTAGACTTGACATAACAAGAGTTTCTTGTTATGTTTTATATACATACACTGTATATATATACATACATACATGCATACATACATACATATATTTCCCACTGACTTCCATTAATTTTATAACTTTTTTTTTTTTAACCGAATTTAACGTCATTTTTCCCCCACCGGGGGTTAGACGTGCTTGCACCAAGTACAAGTCTTTTTTTTTTTGAAGCAGGATTTTTACGGCTGGATGCTCTTCCTAACGCCAACCCAAACCCTAGTAGGGCCCAGGATCCCTCTAACTGAGGGGGGAAATGCGTGTTAAGTGCCTTTCCCAAGGGCACAACGTCTGGGTGCATGTCCGGACATGTCTGGGTCCAACCCTGGGGATTGAACCTGGGTCTTCTTGCTTGACAGTCGGACGTTCTATCCACTACACCACACAGACGCCACCTATAAGGCAACAGATATATGTATATAGCAGAATGTACCTGTTTTCCTGTGGTGACCTGGTCCAGCACATCCAGACAGTCCTGTTTCCATGTGGAGATAGAACAGTTTTCTATGGAGCCCTGAGACTGGCCCATGCCTCGGTAGTCAAACCTGTGGACACAGGTGTCAGATACTACAGGTTAGGGGTTCAAACCCCAGTCTACTGGTACGGATGTAAGAGTTTTCTATGGAGCCCCGAGACTGGCCCATGCCTCTGTAGTCAAACCTGTGGACACAGGTGTCAGATACTACAGGTTAGGGGTTCAAACCCCAGTCTACTGGTACGGATGTAAGAGTTTTCTATGGAGCCCTGAGACTGGCCCATGCCTCTGTAGTCAAACCTGTGGACACAGGTGTCAGATACTACAGGTTAGGGTTTGATTCCCGGTCTACTGGTACTGATGTGAGAGTTTTCTATGGAGCCCCGAGACTGGCCCATGCCTCTGTAGTCAAACCTGTGGACACAGGTGTCAGATACTACAGGTTAGGGTTTGATTCCCGGTCTACTGGTACTGATGTGAGAGTTTTCTATGGAGCCCTGAGACTGGCCCATGCCTCTGTAGTCAAACCTGTGGACACAGGTGTCAGATACTACAGGTTAGGGTTTGATTCCCGGTCTACTGGTACGGATGGGAGAGTTTTCTATGGATCCCTGAGACTGCCCCATGCCTCGGTAGTCAAACCTGTAGACACAGGTGTCAGATACTACAGGTTAGGTGTTCGAATCCCAGTTGTATCAAAGCCTTTCCAGTAGCATGCAAGTCGGGATTCATACTCTGTCCAAAAGCTGGAATCACTGATCACTGAACCATGCACACTTAGGGTGCAGATTTGTATCTGTATAGCCGGTATAACCGCCGTTCGGCGTAACACACCAGTTTCTGTATCAGTATAGCCGGTATAACCGCCGTTCGGCGTAACACACCAGCTTCACAGGCACGCGGCACGGCGGCAGCTGGCTACATTACAGTCCCGATCGACTTGATGCACCTAGCCCTTGAACTTCTAGCTCTAGACAGTGTTTAAAGCTATCTGTCTACAAAAACAACTCACCTAGTGTACGCCAGCCCAGCAGCCCTACAGTACCCCTCCAGTGCCAGCGCTTTGGTACCGTCCATGTTGGAGAGGAACCCCGGGAAGAAGATCACGCCCGGGCTCCTTCCCGGGGTACTGCAGTAGGCGAGGTCGGGGTCGCGACCCCGGGTCAGGTACTGCACACCTGAGGACAGGTGAGGGGAGGTGGACAGTCTTCTGGACAAACCTGGACAAGACACATGAGAATCTGAGTAAAGAGACTCTTTTTACCAGTCTTTTATTCACCCCAACATTTAGTTAACACAAGGTTGCTGGTTCGATTCCCAGTCTAGGAATGAAATAGTAATTTCTGATCTCTAGGTCGATGTGTGGTTTTGGCTCGATTGAACAAACTGATCGGAACCAAACCTCTGCTTGGAGCTTAGTTTAGCGCTAGCTGTGTACGTGATCGCACACACGTGAACGGTTTAGAACCCTTACAACTTTTGAAAAGTGTCATCCATTTCAGAAAATAATGTAAAGGCACAGGACATATTTCAGATCGTTTCCAGAAACGTTGATCTTTTTCCTTACCTGGAAAACTTGGAAATCGCAGGAGAGAAATTTTATTTCTAGCTGTTAGCGCCATGTTTACATTGGACTAGTCCACTCTAGTTGTAGGGTTGTGCAAAAAGTAATCTTGAATGTTCAAATGGACTAAAAGAACAAACAAACACTTGTATATGTTTTTATTCATAAAATTAAATGTTTAATTTATTACATATTCAAAGTTAAGAAGATTTTTATGCTGGTTAAATATGTAATATTATTCTCCCCTGCAATAATAGTGAGCCCATCCCACTTTCTCGTCGTGTCAAAGGTTACCCATATTTCTCAAGACCACATAGCTCCCTGAAATTATACATAATGAAATTATAAACCTCCCTACCTCAGTATTCTGACGGTATTTCGTTATAAATGGATTTTAGATGTCTTCAAGTCATATTTATTAGATTCTGGACACGGGTATACGCCAAGAAGACTTTAATCTTACTTTTATTTTCTCACAAGGCTCTTGTCCGATTAAGAAAGGCCACGTAACCCTAACCTTACCAGGCCGGGTGTTCCACACTGGAAATTTTGCACCGTTGTTGAATATTAGCTGTTCTCCTGGTAGACAGAGAAGTGGTGAAGACTGTGACAACAGGACAAACTTTAGGTACGAGTGCATCTATTTACTCAGTTTCGACGTCGTTTGAATATTCTTTTCATAGTTCTGAACTCCGGATTTTAAAAAAAAAATGCCCCCCTCCCCAGTTTTGATATTCAATGCATGCAATTTTTTTTAGCCCTGCCCACTTTCCAAAAAATGACTTGCATGATTACCAAGACTTCTACACGTGGTTGTCAGAAATGATAGTTGATAAACCACGATATTGTGTGTCAAGATTGTAATGTGGGATCGCAGAAGAATGTTTTAAGCCCCCCTAACATGGAAGTTATGTGTCGTCACCTGATCTAATGCTATCAGTGGTGTGATATCTACTGAATGTGCATCAGTACCGGCGGCACATGTGTGACTGTTATCAGATATACCCAGTCAGTTATACACATTGACACCACAGATAACTGTCTGGGGGCACTTAGAGAGGGGAAGGGCAATGTTGAGGAGGAAATAAGTGTCAACATTCTTGAAAAATGATTTGAAAAAAAAGATAATTTCAGATAAAAAAAGATAATTTCATAAATTCAGGTATTTTGACACATACAAAATGGCCAGTGCAAAACCTCCTCATGGTTAAATCAGGACTTTTTCAGGAGCAATCCTGTCAAACATTTGAAATGTCTTTGTCATTTGTGAATCTATCAAAAATTTTTACTTATTATTAAGTTCATAATTATTACTTACTGTATTTATTATTCATGATAATTAATTTTCATAGTTTTAGCTATGCCTGCACATATCCCTGCCATGATAGCAGTATTGCCTGCTGTTAATTGTGTGACATTAACGACGTTGTCTCTAACAGGCATGGCAGACCTTAACCTGGGGAAGATGGTTTTCGCCATCATTGACTTCCTGAACGACCAGCTACATTCAGGCCAGCTGTCTGGAGATGCAGCCGAGAGTTTAGAAGGTGGGAAATAAATTTTTAACATAAATTTTCCTAATTCTGCCCTTTATTTCAAGATGGCCACATTAAAGTAGCATTTTAATGAATGTCTTGGACACCTTGAAGTAGACTTCTGTAGGTTTCCTTTTAGATGCGTAACAAATCTAGTCTGGTATCATCCATCTCTGTTTGAGCTCAGCTTAATGCTCAGGCACAGTTCTGGATAGTCTACGCATATCCAGAACCGCACTTAATCCAAAACCATACTCAGGCACGGTTCTGGATAGCCCCTGCTATCTAGAGCCGTGCCTGGGGCAAATCTATGTTCTTGGATATGCGGAGACTATCCAGAACCGTGCCTGATCCTAACCCTAACCCATTCAGGCATAGAACTACACAGGCACAGTTCTGGATACGCTAACATGTATTTTATCCTCCCCACAGTTGCTATCCAGTGTTTAGAGACTGCGTACGGTATAGAGTACAAGGATGCGGCATGTGCAGCCAGGTTACACACGACACCTGCGCTGTACCAGCTCTTCTTAACACACCTGAGGGGACAGGCACAGGTAAGGTTACTAACACACCTGTAATAACTTGTCTGAAGTTCGTCCACAGTTAGGGACTTCATTGGTTCTTAGATTAGAACCTGTTGTGTGTGAAATTTATAATCTGCAAAAATAATTATCATTATCTGCTAGGTTCTACAATCTACATGTACAGAAGTAAGAACATCCTGTCTTTATACAGCACTTTGTAAAATATCTGTATCAGTATAGCCGGTATAACCGCCCTTCGAGGTAACACACCAGCTTCGCAGGCACGCGGCGCGGCGGCAGCTAGCTACATCACACCGAACGACTTACACTCAATCTTTGCACATTTAATTGCAGGAGTTGTTTTAAGCTTTCTAGTGATGATGCCCCTACTAAATTAATTATACTGTGCTTGGTGGCAATGAGTTCCAGTCTACGATAGTTCTGGGGAAATAGAAGTTTTTGAACACTTCAAATAGTCTTCTTTTATGTTTCTATCTACAGACAGACGGTGTGAGCCCCACAAGAGAGCGCCCCCTACAGGTGAAGGAGGAAACTGCAGCGGCACCCAGCGGTGTGTTGTCAGAAGAGGACAAGGCAAAAGCTGAGCAGCTGAAAAATGAAGGTGGGAAAAGTTTTTTGCAATGGAATAAATAGATTTTTGTTTTCTGTATCTGTATCGGTATAGCCGGTATAACCGCCCTTCGGCGTAACACACCAGTTTTGATGTTTTTCTTTGCTCTTGATGACAATTCTGAGTGGTGGCGATTTTGAAAGGTACAAACCTCCAAATTTTCAACTTAAGTCGACTGTCGAAAATTTGGAGGTACGTACATGTTTCTACCTTTCAAAAACAGTCACTGATTGAGGAATATTCTATTAACTGTTAATCTTATGTGACTGATGAACCTCTTTAAAGAATAACACTGTTCTCCAACTGAATAAAATTGACCAAATCATTTGGTCTTCATCAGGTTTCTGATCCAAGTCAAAAAATTTAATTCTCCTTATCTACTTTACCAACTCAGATAATCCTTCATGCTGGGGAACTTAAGCGTTAGGTTCAGTCTTTAAACCTCTAAATGTAAAAAAACCCAAGTTAAAACAAACAAACAAACAAACAAACAAACAAACAAATAAACAAAAACAACTGTCCTCCCCGCAGGTAATGCCCACATGAAGGCAGAGAGGTACCAGCAGGCTGTAGACAGCTATACCAGCGCTATCACAGTCAACAGCAACAACGCTGTCTACTACTGTAACAGGTAGGTTATAAGTTATTCCCATTGTTTTATTCTTTATGCTGTCTTCCATGTACAGTATTTGAAGGCAGTTTTAGTTCAAGAAAAGGAGCAAAAGGCTGTGTGATTGTGTCTTGACTTGTCTAAGTTTTGTTTCATTTTGGACTTTACAAAAATTGTCTATATTTGCATATCAATCAATAGTTTGTGCTTATAAACCTGCATTTCTCCTCTGGTCTCTCCAACTTGTCACTGACGAAAGCTAGTGGATACTAGCTGAAACGTCTGACGTTTTCAAAATCATATCCAGTTGCTTGAGTAACTTTTTTTTTAGCGTATCTTATTAGCTGGATGTCTAACCTTCACCAACATATAATTTTGCACATAAATTTTTCAAATAACACCAAAAATTTTTGCCAATTTACCTGAAAAAGTATTTTGAGCCCTGTCCTTCCACATCTTGGGGTCTTCCGTGTAGTCTTTGAATCTGCTAATCTTTGAATCATAATACATGTATTCTATGTTCCCCCCTGACAGGGCTGCAGCCTACAGTAAACTCCTGGATCACCAGAAGTCACTAGAAGACTGTCAGAAGGCAGTGGAGATAGACCCCACCTACAGCAAGGCTTACGGACGCCTGGGGTAGGAAATACGGATTCTTTTGTTACTTCTGAGATGGAACTTTTGTTTGAGTTTGTGTGTGTCGATTCTGCACTGGGACCTGGGTCATTTGAGATTGGATTTCACTTGAGTGATGGGGTAGGAAACACTGGTTCTCGATTTTAATTCTGGGACGGAAGTATTGTTTTTGGTCACTTTAATTGAGCGTTTGTGTGTGTGTGTGTGTGTGTCGATTCTGCACTGGGACCTTGGTCATTTGAGATCAGGTTTCACTTGAGTGATGAGGCTGTGAACTTTCTGGTGTCATGATATACTTTCGGGGTATGGGTATGTGTGATGTCGGAAATTTGACTGATACTAGTGATAGTGCAGCTATGGGAGCGAGGTACGTTCTTATACGTACCTACAGTTTTCTGATGTTCTATTCTTAAGTACATGTTGTTTTCCAGAATGGCGTACTCTAACCTGAATCAGCATGAGAAGGCGAAGCAGAGTTACCAGCAAGCGCTCGAGCTGGACCCTGATAACCAGACCTACCAGAGCAACCTTAGACTCGCCGAGCAGAAACTCAGGGAAATCAACCTAGGGGGCCCTGGAATGGTCAGTCTTACAAGGCATACAGTGCAGTTTTTAGGGCTTGGAAACCAGATCTTTCAAAGCCAATATTCTAGTCGTTTATCTACATAGTGAGCTGAAACCACGAAACCCTGATTTGTCACAGTTTTTGTTGGATGTTTGGTCAACGTTGCATCAGAATTTTGCCTGCCACAGACCATATCTTTTCCGACATAACATTTGGAAACTACAGACGTGATGTTAATCTTATATGATCGAATTATTTGAATACGACCTTATATGAGACGTTCTGCCAAAGTGCTGTGCACAACACAGTCATTACATGTTTTGCACAGGTGCAGTACGTTCTGCTGACGTGCTGTTTTGTCCAAGACTTGTTTCTGACACTTTCTGCAATGATGATCCAGAGAATCAATGTTTTAGCTTGTAATATTTCGACAGTGGGCAATACTTTAACATAGTTGGAATTTGCTGGTTATGTTTGAATAAATTTTTTTTCATCAACATGTGAATTTTTTTTCTCTTCCCATGCAGGGTGGACCTGGTCCTGGTCTGGGTGGAATGGGCGGGATGCCAGGAGGCCTAGGGGGCCTTGGAGGCATGGGTGGAGCGGGGTTAGGAGGGATGGACCTAGGGGGTCTTCTCAACAACCCTATGCTGATGAATATGGTAAGTGCGAGAGGGGGGGGGGTCTGTGTGAAGGGGGGGGTGTATCCAGAACTGTGCCTGTCTTTTTTCTATGCCTGAATCGGTTAGGGTCATATTATTATTAGTAGTACCCAGAACTGTGCCTGTCTAGTTCTATGCCTGAACGGGTTAGGGTTAGGATCAGGCACGGTTCTGGATAGTCTCTATTGTATCCAGAACCGTGTCTATCTAGTTCTATGCCTGAATGGGTTAGGGTTAGGATCAGGCACGGTTCTGGATAGTCTCTATTGTACCCAGAACCGTGTCTATCTAGCTCTATGCCTGAATGGGTTAGGGTTAGGATCAGGCACGGTTCTGGATAGTCTCTGTGTAGCCAAGAACGTAGATTTGCCCCCAGGCACAGTTTTGGATACACACTGACCATCCAGAACCATCAGCACGATTCTGGATAAACCTTAATTCTGGATATGTGTGGACTATCCAGAACTTGAGCATTGTTCTGGATACAAGTTGCAGCAGTGCATGTCTACATAGTATATGAAGATGCTCATATAATATCAATCTATATTTATGTGAAGCATATCCACTTTCTGCCATGTATACCAACGTTATGTTAGTTTTAAAGTAGATATAGTAAGTTAAATAAGCAGACCGTATAAGTAGAACTCCATGTTAGCATAATTATAGTCTTAAATTCACCACATTTTGTACTCATTGTTTTTGTCAATGTCTGTTTGCAATTAGCCCTAGGGCACGAACTTGCAATAAAGAAACTCCTTACATCCGTAGATGACTGTACAAATGTATTAGACAACAGCAACATGTATGATGGACTGATGTGAATTTGTGTTTCTCCCTGCAGGCGACGCAGATGATGCAGAACCCGCAGATGCAGCAGATGTAAGTATGACGTCACCCGGCCGATACAAACATGCTCATCGGTTCACATAAACCCAGTGCAGTGAGGCAGGGCTACTCTAGAAACATCGGTACACAAAACATATGCTGTCGGTTTTCACTGCAGGAAATTTAAAGAAAATCATGCCCAACATTCAGGGACGGAGAGAATATTTGAGTAAAGAGATTTTTACACAACCAAGTCTTTTATTCAGCCAACGTTTCGGTGACCGTCTGTCTGTCAGGGGATTCATTCCTCAGCTAACCGACATCTCACACACGCAGTCGTCCCTCAGTAAGACATCTGGAGCCGCATAGTTCCTGTTTAGAGCTTTTATTCATCCTGAGTCAATTGAATACATGTAGGTAACAAGGTAGGACAGTTGAAAAGGCCAAGATTTTTTTGTCTAAAGCATGAAGAACACAAATATTTTTCCTGATTTCTCCTAATTTCTTTCCTGATTTCCTTTTTGTTTGCAGGTTGGGAAACTTATTAGGCAGCGGCGGTGCACCTACCCAAGCCCCCTCATCAGGCGAAACACCACCGGGGCCAGGGGGCCTTAATATGTCTGAATTCTTGCAAGCGTAGGTCTTTTTTTGTTGCAAGTTAGATGTTCGTGTGATGTCTGTGCCAATCTGTTGTCTTAGGGAGTTTTCGTCTTTCTTGTGAGACAGTGATTTTTGGTTTTTATGCTTCTGAAGTCCTGTCTTTGCTTTCTTTTGTCCTTTTTTGTTATTATTTCATTAGTGTGTAACTCATAACAGCTACAAAACTGTCAGGATGTCGGAATTGTAAACTAAATCAGCTCTTTGTGATGTGAAGTGCTTTACTAATACTTTGCTTCACAGTAGATTCAGCTGGAATTTTGAGTACAAAATTCCTATTGTAGAATATTTGGTGACACGCTATGTCAATGGAGGTTAGACATCCAGGTAATGAGATACACAAGAAAACAGATAGATATTGGATAGATATTGAAAACTGTCAGACATTTCTGGTAGCATCAACTACCTTTCACACTACACCAGTCACTGACGAAAGCTAGTGGATACGTCTGACCGTTTCCAAAATCATATCCAGTTGCTTGAGTAACTGCTTTTTGGCGTAGAATTTTTGCTGCACTTCTGACAGTGATGGCATTGTCGTAGTGGTGAATCTGTTAACACATATTTTCCAAGCACTTCCACCAGTGGCCAGCAGATGGCACTGCTATAGTGGTATATTTGTTGAGTCATTTTTTCCCTGCACTTCCGGCAGCGGCCAGCAGATGGCGCAGCAGATCCAGCAGCAGAACCCGGAGCTTGTGGAGCAGCTGAGGACACAGATGGGCCGAGACCCGCCCGACGGCAGTCAGGACAATCCTGACGGGAAAACTGGTCAGAAAACTTGGATTTACTAAAAGCCTTAGTATAATTCTTTATCACAAACTTAAACTGGCATAGACTAGTATGATAGAAAATGAGGTCAGACTACAGACTATGCATGATGTACAAAATGACTAATAAACTGGTGGATGTCCCAACTACTAAGTAATACCAGCTTAGAAAAGAACAAGAAACAGTCGAGCCTTCAAGTACCAGAGTTATTAACCAAGAAGTGGAACTTCTTATTGAAGTCTTTTTTTTCAAGGGGAATTTTTCTGCAGTTGATTACCACTGGCAAAAACCAAGGATTTCAACATTTACATGAAAGTATCCTTCATCTATAGTTGTATGAAATCCATGTATGAACTGATTGGTTTTCGTACCAACAGTATATTTTTGTCCTTTTCTTTTGCAGATGAGAAATAATGAAACTTGAACCTGAACGTAGCTGTGTAGTGACGGATCTTACTACAGCAGCCTGGCAACACCGGTACCAGCCACAGGACAGTTTGCCGCTCAAAGATGGCAAAAATCTACAAACTTAAGACTTAACAGTTTAGCACAAAGGAACGACAAAAATCTTGCAGGAAAAGCTTCGCTCCCAGAGATAAATGTAAGAGCAAAGTTTGATAAACTGTGTTGCAATAGACACACAAGTCAGTCAAGTTGGCCCAAGTTGTTGAAAAAAATTGTAATTTTTTTAGAAGAATAGATATTGAAGTAGCAGAACAATTGTGACAGTCATAAATGGTGAACTGTATAAAAATGCTTGTGCTATCAGAGGTTCCTCCGCTAGCATGGGGTGTTAGATACTACAGACACTCACAGGATAGATTGTTAACCAGACAAAGCAGGGGTGGAAGTTTCAAGGGAAGCACCAGGAATATCTTTCCTCAGTTCCTTTACAATTGTACTCAACTCTTTCCCACCTGTATCCAAGATACAATGCCCAGAAGGAATCTCTGATATCACTGACTTCCTTGCAACAGTTTATGATATTGTCTTTGAGAAGAATTTCACATGGAATTACAATTTAGAGGTTTCGATGTACTAAAATCCTTTAGTATGATTCTCTAAAAAAAGCTTAGGCCACTCCAAGAATGTTACTTGTCCCTCAGACAAAAATAAGAAAGATTATGAGTTTTGAAAGCCAGGAGTTTCTGTATGCAAGATATGAATTTATCTATATGAAGTCTGAATGTTAGGTTAGCATAAGAAACAACATGTAGCCTGGAGTTGTATTTATTTGGTTAAGAATGTATTTTATCTGGCTGGAATTACTTCATTTTTTTTCATAATGATCAGAAGGATAGAGAAAAATGTTATGTACAGCCAATAATTTGGAAAATAGGTAAGGATAATGAGATATTTTAGATTTAAAGTAAAAACGAAGCGAAAAAGACTTGCCATATGCAGCAGAAATTGTTCAGATTGTATTTCTTGAACAACTGGACTGAGAAGAAAAAAGTATGCAAACTGATGTCAGAAAATTAATCTAGGAAATGAACATTGTAATTAACTGTCCATAGGAACTACACTGACTTGGTTCAGTTTTACCCCCTAAATGCAGGCTGACAAACCCGATTGTTATTTTGGTCTGATCCCAATAAAGAAAGTTTTCAGCAGACTTTGGCTCTTCTTGTGATGTCATTTCTTGTGAAGTAGTTTCCCAAAGATTTCCTTGTTTCTAGCGTGTTTCATGGACACTCCTCTGGCCAATGGATACTGCCTTGCCACCGTAGGATCTGCTTGGAGATGGCTAATGGACACTCCTCTGGCCAATGGATACTGCCTTGCCGCCGTAGGATCTGCTTGGAGATGGCTAATGGACACTCCTCAGGCCAATGGATACTGCCTTGCCGCCGTAGGATCTGCTTGGAGATTACCTTGGTTGTATAGAGTGAGAGTTTGGTTTAGACTCCCAATATCTGCTTGGAGATTACATAGAATCAATGTACAACATGGCGGGTCTATGGAACATAAACGCCTTGCAGAAAAAAAATGTCATTGAGCAGAGGAACGCACCTCAAGGTCATAATTCTACAAGATGGCGGTGATGAGGAGACGTCAGACATTAATTCTGTCAGTCAAAGTGCAAAAACAAGGGCATTTTGGGTAAGACATTGAGTCAGTATATTATAGTCAGGTTGCCATTTGAAAATAGGTGCAAGACATTAAAAAAAGTGTTAGGTTTACAAAAACACAGCTTTATAATGTGTAAATTGGGCAATTCTTTGAATTTATGTACATATTTGATGAGCAGAATTGAACCGGAGAGGTATATAAAGGAAAATCAATTACACAGTAAAATATTTTTCTAGCGTCAAAAAACTCTCAAATTTCCATAACTTGTAGCTTGTTATTTCACTTATATCCTAAAGAAAATAAAATGATATTTTTTCGGTTTGTAACCTCATTTACAAAGTCATAATATGCAAAATTCTGTAAAAAGTTGAAAACCCCTTACGAGCCCAGTGATTTTGGCAATTCCCAAATCGCCCAAATCCGCGAGTGGGCTGGATCCTTACATTACAAGCGACTGTCTGTATCGCCACTTCCGGTTTCCAACTGCCCGAAATTAGGGTGTTCTGGGGTTTTACGTTTGATACTTGATCGACCTACAAATCTCCACTTTTCTAGAAAATTCTGAATGTTTTCAACAAGTTTTCAACGGTTCTGTCGTACATTTTAAATGGTATACAAACGCCACGGAAGAGAAAGGGCGTACTTTGAAGTTTTACTTGATTTTTCCGGGCTCTCGCGGTTTCGCCGTTTGCAGAACGCATCATTTTTCAGACACGAAGCTGCGAAGCCGCGGCAGCCGGAAGTGGCTATGTTGACAAACTCAGCGCTACTCCAACAGCTCGTATCGCCGAATTACAACAAAATATGAGGCGGAATCGCCTAATTTCTATCACAAATAACAAATCTCATGACATAAACTTTCCATAACTGCTTGTGAGAAGGACAAGGCGTAGTTTTGGGGGTGTTTTCGGGCGGGCTTGGTCGCAAAAGTTGCCGGGCGGTTGTTAGGAGGGGACCGGTGTTGCTCCGCGTAAACTTCGGCGCTCAGCGGTACATTTTTCGGTCATTTTACAAGAAAAGGTTGAAAGATGGTGACTTTCCTCGACCCTGGAGAATACGGTGGGGCTAGGGCGGTTCATCCAGCCCGGTAGAATCCAACTGATGCGGCCAGGCCGGCCCGAGAATACGCCGATCCGTACCGACCCGTTGGCCGGTCAGATTGCCGCTAGCAGGCCGAGTACGAACCGGCCTGGCCCCCAGGACTGGCCCTGGTACTGACTGACACTTCCAGGGTTGCCTCCCTCTGTTTTTCTCACGGTTAAAGCCACAAACATCGTCCGCTAACTTATAGACTAATAAAACACTGATATTTTCCCCTCTTCTATAGCTAGGCTTCAAGGCCGCGCGACGACAGTCCAACGGTCTCAGACACGGCGCACCGCATGTAACGTTACCATACATCATGGCCGGTCAGATTGACGCTTGCATGCCGACTACCAACCGGCCTAGCCCCCGGTACTGACTGACACTTCCAGGGTTGCCTCCCTCTGTTTTTCTGACTGAGTTAAGCCACAAACATCGTCCCGTAACTTGTGGACAAATAAAACACTGAGATGTGTCCCTCTCCTCGGCTTCAAGGCCGACTTTCTTCTGTATTTTGACGATCAAGGAGGCACGAATAGCCATGGTTCAACCAACTCAGTGTCGCCGCTTCAACACACACAGTGCAGTATAATGCAATATAACTCGCAAAATCAGCTCATCTTGGCTATAAAATGCACCAACAGTCGATAAACTTTCTTGGCGTAGTTTAGCGATAGATAAAAAGCCGTTTGACTCACACCTGTTATGAGTTTTACGCGGTGGAAGTTCAACTTCAACGGCGGTAGACTCCAACCATGTGTAGTTATGCATTTCATTACCAGCGTGAAGTGCATGGATCAAAAGCGGCCCCTAGCATTTGACTGCAGGACTGCACCAATGTATTAGCATGACCGCAGAAGAAGGCCACTGTTTATCGTCTGTTTGAAGCTTTCTGCACGGCGTTAGACTAAATGTCTGGACCTAGGAAATACTGGAAGGTGAGTTTTTCGGGGAATATTTTCAAACAGTAACGTTTGCTGGTAACTTGTCATAGCCGGGCAAACCGATCGTACGCTTGCCGGAATTTCTTCGGTGATGAGAGTGGTGCACGCCCGCCAAGGCCTCTTGGGCAACCCGGTAAACGTAAAATATATAATCATGGTTAATGCTCAATGATCTATTGAAAATTAACATTTTAAAAATATTCCTTTATGGCAAAATGATATTTAGAGTAAATATTAAGCTGTTTTTAACGCGAAATTGTGATAGTTTGTAGGGACTACTTTGTTCTAGCGGTGTTGGATGGGTGTGTTGTTCGGTTACGTTCGGGAAACTAAATACGGTATTAACCCGAGGTTTAAACAAATTGACCAATCAGTGCACTGTATGTATTGCCTCTGATTGACCAATAGGTATGGCCGATAGTTTCTTAACCAAAGGTTGTTTTCTAATATCTGTTCTGATTGCTTAAACTCTTTGGCTTACGTAGTTAATCCGCACACATTGCGGAATGACCGCAAAATATATAAACATGGTTAATGCTCAATGATCTATTGAAAATCAACATTTTAAAAATATTTTTTTATGGCCAAATGATATTTAGAGTAAATATTAAGCTGCTTTTAACACGAAATTGTGATAGTTTGTAAGGACTACTTTGTTCCAGCGGTGTTGGACGGGTGTGTTGTTTGGTTATGTGATTGACCAATAGGTATGTCCAATAAATTCTTAACCAAAGGTTGTTTTCTAATGTCTCTTCTGATTGCTTGAACTCTTTGGCCTACGTAGTTAATCCGCACACATTTCGGAATGACCGTAAAATATATAACCATGGTTAATTTTCAATGATCTGTCGAAAATTAACATTGTAAAAATATTCGTTTATGGCCAAATGATATTTAGAGTAAATATTAAGCTGTTTTTAACACGAAATTGTGATAGTTTGCAGGGACTACTTTGTTGGAGCGGTGTAGCACGGGTGTGTTGTTCGGCCAGAAGTTCAGTCAAGTTTCAACCAATTAGAAGAGACATTAGAAAGCAACCTTTGGTTTAGAATCTTTTGGACATGCCTATTAGTCAATCGGCAGCCAAACGTACTGTGCACTGATTGGTCAATTTGTTTGAACGTCAGGTTAATAACGTAATACTTTCCCGCACGTAACCGAACAACACACTCGTCCAACACCGCTGAAACAAAGTAGTCCCTGCAAACTATCACGATTTCGTGTTAAAAACAGCTTAATATTTATTCTAAATATCCTTTTGCCATAAAAGAATATTTTGAAAATATTTGTTTTCAATAGATCACTGAGCATTAACCATGATTATATATTTTGCGATTATAGTTGTATCATTCCGCAATGTGAGCGGATCAGCAGCCAATTTGAAGCACTAATATCGTTGGCTGCTAGGGGTCTCTCTTAAATAAACAATGTAAATTTCTATTGGCAATTTTACCACCGACAAGTACCATTAAAATCCGCTAAGCGGCATTTTTGACACGTGGCGAAAATATGCGACACAGTCTGATAATCGACGGAACGGATGGCAGCCATTGAATTGTTTTCTGGACCGTACTGTGATGTTTGTTGGAGCAAAGTGGAGAAAGTATGCAATACAGGTAACTTTTATGAATTGATTTAAGTTCTGAAGACTCTTATCTTTCAAAATATCCAACGAATCTTTGTCTGGCGTCAGTTAAACTGCTAAAAATCCAAGGAGACGAGGCTCGGCTCGGTGTTGAGTTGATCTAGCCTTGGTAACCTTTTTTCACGGGCCGAATTAAGTGGCTTTTACCGACCCTTACTGTAAGAATCTGCCATTTCCAGGCAGTCTATCTATCTAGTCGGCCTTTCTGCTCACTGTCGTGCTGAAATGATCGAAACCGACCCCGTAAAAATGCCCCGACGTGCGTTAATGTGCCGGGCGGGAGGGGGGCACTCCCAGCGCCGTAGAGATGACAGGGAGCTCCCGGTGGTTGTTTACCAGGCTAAAACCAGGGCGCCTCCTTGTAATACTCGATAACAGAGAAGCCAGACAACTGAGTTAGCCAAGACAAACATATTTTGTGGAAGTGGCCGACTTTAAGGCGATGAATTTGATGAAATTCACGGCAAAAAAAAATCACCGCGTCAGAGGAGCCATGTCCTCGGGACCAGCGGCAGATTCGCCCGCGCGAAGTCCCGTAGCGTCCCCCGCTCCGGTGGCTGTTGCACTTTGCTTGCAGCCTTAAAACCAGGGAAATCAGGCTTAGAAGTGTTTGATAGGTCCGTTACCAATTCATCTTAGACTTTTTTGGCACCCTATATTTTCAGACAGCCTCGGAAACCAACCCCGTAAGAATTCCCGGGCATAAGGACTGGGCCTGGGCGGGAGGGGGGCACTACCAGCGCCGTAGAGATGTCAGGGAGCTCCCGGTGGCATAATTACCAGGCTAAAACCAAGGCGCCTCCTTGTAATACTCGATAATACAGACGCCAGACAACTGAATTAGCCAAGACCAACATGTTCTG